GACTGACCGATCCTTCTTTCCTGCACCTACTCCAACCAAGTAGCCAATTTTCCCCCCTTACCCGCTCCTAATCTTCTCCTCCAAGCACTTCACTAGCCTTTCACTACCCAAACGCATTTATTTCTCGACATCACAAAATGGCTGAGACAGCTACCCCCGAAGGTACGTTACTGTTTCCCAACTCTTCCAGACGAGATTACCTCGAGCTTGGCATGCATTGCACAGCTGTGCACGCACGGCGCGTCCCCTCTCTGGAGGAGGCCCTGCACCGAACGAAGGAAACATCCCCAACTAACCTCCCCACGCCAGTCCTCTGGGCCCAGCGCTCATCAGCCTCCGAGCCCGAGAAGAACTTTGTCTACCTCACCATCTCCGTCCCCGACGTGCCCAAGGACGGCCTGAAGCTGGACCTCAAGCCCGCCGGCCTGACGTTTAGCGGCACCTCGGGCACCCTCAAGCGGGCCTACCACCTCGAGCTCGAGTTCTACGCCGAGATCGACCCCGCAGAGAGCAGGATCAACCACACCGCCAAGAACGTGGAGCTGAAGCTGCAGAAGAAGGAGCTCCAGGAGGAGTACTGGCCCCGACTCCTCAAGGAGAAGAAGAAGCTCCACTTCCTTAAGACCGACTTCGACAAGTGGGTTGACGAGGACGAGCAGAACGAGGCTCCCGAGGAGGACTTCTCGCAATTCGGCGGCATGGGTAAGTAGAGAATTCTCGTCAAACACCCCACGGACCTACCCTTTCTTTTTGATCTTCCAAGGCTGGGATAAGTATACTTTGAATCTGGGGCTAATCAGAGACATTACAGGTGGCATGCCTGGTATGGGCGGTGACTTCGGCGGCATCGACTTCTCCAAGCTCGGTGGCGGCGGTGGTGACCTGGGCGACCTGGGCGGCCTCGGCTCCCAAGTCAACCCCGACGACCTTAACGACGATGATGATGACGAAGAAGATGATGACGACATCCCCGCCCTCGAGGAGGATAAGAAGGAGGAGAAGAAGGCCTAGAGGCTGCGCGGCTCTGCAAATGCACAGACAGTGACGAGATACCACCCAGATCACTTCTAGTCTCCGGTTGCCTCTTGACCTGTTCTAATAGATGATCACTTGTGAATTAATTGGCGGATGAATAAATGAAAAAAATCAGCCTACAGCTTCTGAAAACTAGGGAAGACGGCGAAATTGGGACAATTATCATGAAAGGACTTGTTTTTTTGTTTATGACTGTTTCCTGCGTCGTGAGGTTAGAGGGGTCGTTATGAAAATGTTTTAAACTGATATCAGCCGCACTGTTGCCTGTAGAGACCAAGTTGTTTCATCCCATTTTATCCTGCGTAGTTGGTTTTGTCATATGAGCTGCTCTAGGAGATCACTAGGAAGGCGGGCGTGTTAGACGATCATTAAATGGCAATTTGCTCTCACAAAGGCGACTGTATCCTCGACAGGGCAATATGAAAGCATGCCTTATACCAATCTGATTTTACTGATCACCTCGTTCTTACTACCTAAAGTAGTTGCCCTTAGGCCTCCAAAGTCTACGAGGAACTTTAGTGACGAAGTGAATGGATGACAATGAGGTTAGATATGAGTCGATAATTGCACTTCAATGACGGAATATGTTGCAAAGCGAAAAGAAATTACTTCTCTATTGAGACCAATAGTAGGACATTATAAGTTGCGTTTAGAAATAGTTCAAATTTGTGATAGCTATTGAGTATGTTTCCACCATTCTGTTCAGACCTAAACGCCAGCACCCAGCTCGAGAACATTCAATGAGAGCAATATTAAGCATCGATGCTTTAATTTATTAAGTCAATCGAAAAAAAGGTTTACTGTCCAAAGGTTAGTTTGATTAAATCATGAATTTCCATGGATGGATTGCATACCATGATCTCCTCCATAGCCTCGCCGTTGGTGTTGGCACCGGCGGCAGCAGCAGTGGCGTCATTGGCAGGGGTGGCCTCAAAGTAATCAGCCATCTCCGAGTCGAGTTCAGCAGCGGTCTTCTTGGCCGGGCGAGCATTGCGACCTCGGGGCTTCTTGGGTGCATTTGGCTTGGCATTTCCAGCCTTGGCAGCGGCACCCTTCTTATCATTGACGGCCGACTTGGGTTGAGCCTTGGGCGCACTGTTCCATGTTAGTTGACTCGTATATGGCGATAAAGATATGTCAAAACTTACGTGGTACGCTCAGCAAGAGTCTTGGCGGCAGGAATGACCTTATCGGCTTGAGCAGCACCGACAACAATCTCAATCTGTATAGAGTTAGGATGGAGTCCTGTTAATGCGTGTGCGTCTCACATACCTTGATTGGGCGGTTGTCAACAAGCAGACCGTTCAGCTTCTGGAAGGCCTTACTAGCGCCATCCGCCTCGCGAAAGATGACGTTGGCAATTCCGCGGCTCTGAGAGTTAGGTCCATAGGAGATCTCGACCTTCTTGATAGGACCAACGGATTGAACAAAGTACTCCTAAGGAACAAATCGGTTAGTTAACGGGTATTGGGAAAGGCCCGAAATTATTTCGACAAGTATCGCTCGATCTATGCAACAAACAAACTGCCAAGCGAACACAGTCCGCCTAGCAGAGTCGATGCGCAAGCGAGCAGAACAGTGAGCCAGTAGCGGCGCGCAGCTGATAGGTGCTTTGGGTATGTGCTACCATCAACGCAACTCCAGCAGCAAAAAAATCCAAAATGATCCGCAAACGCGATGAGATTAATTCATCGAAAAAGACGTCATGTCACAACACGGGAAATCTCGTATCGCTGTTGCGCTGGCCTGACGAGATCAAGCACACACTGTTTTGCTCGCTCGCATGGATATCCAACCGACAGTAAGACGACAAGAGGATCTAGCTATTCGTTTGTAACGATTTTGCGCATCGAATATAATCTCATACCCGTCCATGAGCGTGCGTCATCGGGCTCATAAGCTGACCAGGCTTTTGGAGCACTCGGTATGACCATGGACGATCTCGACTTCCGCTGATGAATCTGGTGCCATATCTCAGGAACACCAAGATGATTCAGGAAGGAGCAAGTATGGATCTTTGCGATGACATGAGCCCGAGGGCATAGCATTGTCACTCGTTCAAAGGCCGCCGTGTCGGAAAATAAATCAAGAGATCACAGCAAGAATAAAGATCGGAATAATCCGTGGGCTTCGATCGCCTCAACGGAAACATACCTTGATCTGCTGCTCCGAAACATCCTTGGGCTTTACGCAGGTTAGCAAAGGTGAATATATCGCCGGGGATGGGTTGAATGCTTACCAGATTGCTCACAATGACCTTGCTGTCACCTCTGGCAGGGAGAGGCTTGGATGGAGCGCCCTTGCCACCGACATTGCGGGCGGGCTTGGTGGCCTTCTTGATTCCTCCAGCAGGAGCAGTAGGAGCGGCGCGAGTGGCGGGGCGACGCTGAGATCTGCGGCGAGGGCCGGTAGAGGCTCGCTTCTGGGTAGTGGCGATCTCGTCAAGAGACTGGTCAAGCTTGCCGGACATGATGATGGTGAGTGAAGAAAGTTGCTTAAAAGCCGAGAGAATTTTTTCGGGGTAAAGAAAATCGACTGATCACTGCTGAGATGTGATTATTGACTCAACAAGCGGATAGGCGGTATCTGTCGGGCGCTGTGGCTCTCGAAGATAAGTCGACTAGATTGGTCTGGTCGCGTCGAGGTTTGCGATTGAAAACGCGGTCGCAAAAACCCAGATCTGTTGTTTTGGATGGGAAGTGAAAGTCTTTCGAGAGAAGATGATGCACAGGATGCAAAATCAGGAAAGACAAGATCTGGGATATTCTGGTCTTGTTATATCAGTTTGTGAGAGAGAGTGTGTGAATGAAAGGGTGAAAGCAAGAAATGGAAGAAAGGGAGGGAGTGCAAAGCGAAGAAGCAAAAGAGGCGCCAGGTAAGCACAGCCCAAGCGAAGGGGGAGAGGGGCTTCCTGGCCGGCGTTCTGTTCGTCCAGGCTGACCCGACGGCCTGCGCGCCGCCAACGCGAGAGGGTACATCCACAGTACACATTGCCACAGGCGGATTGGCTGTGGCAGCCAATCAGAGGCGCTCACGCTGTTGTGGTCGCACATGTGGGGCACTTGGGCCATGGACTGGGCAGGTATCGCTCAGTGCATGTCTGGCGCGTGAGTAGAGGGTACGGAGGTACCTGGGCAGGCGCCTGCTGCCTGGGCCATTGTGTTCAGCCACAATAGGAGTGCAGCAGGTGCGTCAATGGAACAGCCGAGCCGCAGCGCTGGTGCTGGCCAGTGGTCCAATCGCGAGCAGACATTTACATCAAACTAAATCCGATTTATTTGTGCACAGCACAGGAATAAGATGGGCGTAGAATCTCACAAGAAGCTTATTGATTGAATGCGACTGGGGTGAAATTTCGGGCTAATATTCTGGCGTGAGCAGCTCGTGATCTGCCTAAGCAACATCCTCTAGCAGGTAGCGACGAAGTTAGGCTTTGGCCCCTTGGTCGCCTGACGATCAGCGGCAGGCTTCCGAGCAAGTTGCGAGGAGCTAGACTGTTGGGTTGAAGCGATTCGCGCTTGGGTATCAGAGAGTTTCATTTGCTGCTTGCTTGTGGATCATGCGCTCGATTATGTACAATGGTTCTCCCAAGTCCGAGACCTAACTCATAACGCCCTGACAGAGGCCAAATCTGCCGATATTCTTTCGAACCACTCTCTCTATTTTATAGCCCAATTCAAACAAATATCCCGGAATTTCTAACAGCTGCGACGTGTGAACTGTCTGGGTAGGCGTCAGACCCTAGCTGGCCCTCTTAGCCGGCCAGCCAGTTACGTGTTGGTGGATTGTGTTTTGATCAAAGATTCGCTCAGATATAGATCTCCCGATCTTCCTCTTCCAGCTGTCCAGATCACGGTTGCCGGAGGGGAGGTAGCGAAGTATTTTGGTCGTGAAAGAATAAGAATTGCAGTGTTTGGAACATGTCGTCTGGTTTAAAAGAAATGGAATTCCGCGAATAGGTGAGCTTAAGACTTCGCCGGCTTCTCGATTTGAGCTATGTTCTCGGGGGCATTGACTTCGAAATAATGATACACGACGATGAGAACCATAGAGGCCGAGCCTAGGAAGATGGCAAGGGTGTAGAGGTCGCCGTCGGAAATCATTGTTGCTGTTGGCTGGAATCGGTCCTCGGTTGACGGCGTAAGGTGTCGTTTGAGCACTGGAAGTCGTGTTAGAAGGTTATGCGCAATAATAATGACCGAATTGATGTTTCCTCACAGAGAACAGAGAGACCTGGGTCGGGTTAACGAGTGAAATGAGGTTGGGGAAGTGGTTATCGCGATTGTCGAATTGAACAGGACAGCTGTTACGCAACCCCAGCTCTGACTGGGTCCAATTGTTCGCGGCTTCAGGGAGCTCAGAGTGACCAGGGTACCTGCTAGAGCGGCGCACGTGACGCGCGGTGACCTCATTTGCCTGACGAGCCCGCCCACAATCTAAGAGGTTTGACTTTGCCCGATAACCCCACTGTCATCGAAGGCAGCCTTGACGAGCCACCATCCCACCAAATATCCTCTTGCTTTTCTGCCCGCCCGAAGCCACTAGCCTTATTTCGATACGCCATAAACTAAGAAAAATCATCTTGGGCGCCTGTCTCGTTCGCAGCGGCAGTTTCACTTTCATTTTCTAGCGTCCAACAAATCAGACTTCGCTCGCTTACTCGATAAACCGTTACGATGCCTCCAAAGAAGGGTGACAAAAATGCTGGTGGCGGTGGAAAGAAGGCCTCGGCCTCCAAGCTGGTCGAGGACCGGACGTTTGGAATGAAGAACAAAAAGGGAGCTGCTGCTCAGAAGCAGATTGACCAGATGACGAGGAACCTCAAATCTGGAGGTTCGGCCGAGGAGAAGAAAAAGGCCGCCGAGAAGGCAGCAAGAGAGAAGGAGAAGAAGGCCGCCGAGGACGCCCGACGAGAAACAGAGGCTCTCCTCAACCGCCCAGCCCAAATCCAGAAAGTCCCCTTTGGTGTTGACCCAAAGACGGTCGTCTGCATTTTCTACAAAAAAGGCAACTGTGAGAAGGGAAAAAAGTGCAAGTTCGCACACGATTTATCCATCGAACGCAAAACCGAAAAGGCGAACCTATACACAGATAAAAGAGGGGAGGAGGAGGAGGGCAAGAAACAGGAGACATCTGCCGACTGGGACGAGGAACAACTGCGGAAGGTCGTTTTGTCTAAGAAGGGCAACCAACGGACAACGACGGAGAAAGTGTGCAAATTCTTCATTTCGGCGATTGAGGATGGAAAGTATGGATGGTTCTGGATCTGCCCTAATGGGGGAGATAAATGCATGTATAAACATGCACTTCCACCTGGGTGAGTCATCAGACGATTTTCCACCGGCTTACTGGTTGGATCAGAGAAAGCACACACACTAACAGTACTGTAGTTTCATTCTTAAGACAAAGGAACAGCGGGCTGCAGAGAAGGCACTTCTCGATAAGTCGCCGCTCAAGACGTTGACGTTGGAAGACTTCCTGGAATCAGAACGCCATAAGCTGACCGGAACTCTCACCCCCGTCACACCAGAGTCTTTCGCCAAATGGAAGAAGGAGCGTCTTGACAAGAAGGCTGCTGAAGAGCAAGCTCGAAAGGCCAAGGAAAACACTGGTCGTTCTCTGTTCGAGAGTGGCAAGTGGAGGGATGAAGATGACTCGGAGGCTGATGATGATGACGACGACGTATGGAACCTGGAGAAGCTAAGGAAGGAGACAGAGGCACTCCGCCAGAAGAAGGAGGATGAGCGCCTTCTCCAGTCACACAACGGCGAAGTAGCGCCAACGCCAACTGAGCCAGATGCTGAAGGCGAGGCAGAAGCATCGACATCTTGAGCCACCCTACTGTGATGGTCATGGTGGCCCAATTAACATATGGGAACGCTCTTTGGTGAGGGCTAAAAGGCTACCCAGTGGCTATCTTGAACATAGATTAGACTCACTTATAGGCACACAGGTCTGTAAGGTTTGTAGTCGTCTGTTTCTCTGATGGTGGAACATATCCACCTCTGGTCCCTGGTAGTAAGGACTCAACACTACGGTCCCTCCTGACCTCTTACGACAGTTGAGAGCCAAGCACCAAATACGACGTGCCCTCGGTTGGCTTCCAGTCTATTGTATTATTCACATGATGGAATGGTCCGTGAACTGCCCACTGGCGGATTTGTGGTAAAAGGATATTTGGACAGCGACGAGACAGTTGCTAAATTGGAGCTATCTCTGAGCATTTTATCGGGACGGGCTTTTTGGAGCTGGCAATTGAATCCATGGGAGACATGAATGTAAAAGAGGATGAACGCATATAGCATTATCAACATTGGACGGGTTGCATATTGCAGATCCCTTCGGGCGGGGCTGGATCCCTCCACGGCTGATGGTTGCTTATTCCCAGCAGTGGTTTCATAGTGGTGCTGTCACAAGGACGGATTGGGAAAGATCTGTCTGGCTTGCGAGGTATGTGCTGCGGCTGCGTCTAGTTATGGGAAGAGATGGCACATTCCAGGTAACCTGTCGTATTGCTGCTCGTTCCTAGGCATGAAGCTGGCACTAGCGAAGTACATGCTTTGGGCACCAGTGATATGTGAAGCGACAACGGGCCGGATAGCGCACTAGCACCCGATCGGCGGCGTGGGAACATGTTTGCCGATGCTCGCTATCCGGCTGCTGCCCGTTGAGCCAGTTCTAGGCCAGCCGGTGTCTGTCGTAGCACCAGACCTGCCTAGAACCTGGGCCGTTCGGCGAGCCGTGGACGTGCTGTAGAGTGCTGAGGCCCCGCGGCACAGTGGCGTGGGCACGGCAGATGGCCTCGCCCGGGGGCTTCTGGTTGGTGGGCTGCAGCACTGCTCGGTGGAGGGGAGTGGAGGGAGGGGGCACTTTGGGGGACACAGCCGAAAGACCCTGTCGGACTGCAGCGTGCCAATTAAGCTCTACCAAACTCCAACGGGGTCAGTCGTCCCCAACACCAGGCGTCGCATCCTCCCTCACACTCACTTATGCCCGTCCATATCGACCTGGAATTGCATGACCTAGACGAACGGCTGTTCATTCATCCCAGAGCAGCTTAGCCTGACTCCGATTGGCCTTGCCCTGCTCCCTTTCCCGTCCCTCTGCCGTCGTGGAGCTGGGTGTCTGTGGATTGGATTGGATCAGCCTCCCTCGCCGATCGGTGCCATCTCGTTCCCCCGCCCCAAACCACCACATTGACCGGATTCCCAAGGCACCGGCATACCCACCGCACTGCGAAACGAAAGAGACTGGGAGAGGCCCTTTATGGACCCGAGGCGCTTGACGACTGGCCGTGCTGCGACCGCGCCCAGGACTTTGGTCTCTCGTGAGGCCTCAGTCTGAGGCGCCCTTGTCCCCTTGCCCTGAAGCATGACTGCTGCAGAGGCCAGAATCGACCATCAACAACATGTCGCCCCAGCTCGTCCCGCGCCCGCTGCCATGAATCAGTCCGACTCCGGTGCGGGCAGCAGCCGCCGGCAAACCAACACTATATCTACCGCCTTCGTGAAGCGGTATCGAACCGAGATCGCTGCCAGCTCCTCCAGCGTTCTCTCCACGCTCACGGCGTTCCCCCTCGACAGTGTCAAGACCCGCATGCAAACGTACCACTACAATGGATTTCTCGACTGTGTCAGACACACATATCGCACGGAACATTTGGGAGGGTTCTTTCGAGGTGAGTAGGTGCGGCTGGCTTTGCATGAGTGCTTCACCGCAACAGGCCGATATCTTAACCCTCTCTGTCTTTAGGTGTAACTGCGCCAATGGCGAGCATTGCTCTCGTTCGAACAACCTCTTTCTCCATCTACCAGCGTTCCAAATACAGCTACGCTGATTGGGTCAAACGCCACTCCGGTTTTGACATTATTGCACATGTCAACAAGCCAGGCTCATACCCCAACCTCTACTCAATTGCCTGCTTTGGCGCTGCGGGCGCCACCGCAGGATCCGCCATCACGTTCCTGGCATGCCCCTTTGAGCTCACCAAGCTGAGCGCCCAAGTGTCCGTCCTGCTTGCAGAGCGGGCCGGCAACGACAAGCGAAGTCGTGCGGTGGCAGAAAGCTACCAGAACAAGGGCACGCTAAGAACGATGAGAAACATCATCAAGCACCGCGGAATTTTTGGCCTCTACACTGGCTTCGGCCTGCATCTCCGTATGATGCCCGCTCCCAGGACCCTCTTTTACCTGCATTGCTGACATGTGACAGTGCGGGATACCCTGGGGACTGCGATATACTTCATGGTCTACGAAAGCGGCAAGCATCTGGGGACTACTTTTAGCGGCGACAAGCCCGGCAGTAATAAGCTGGCTGTGGTGACGGCGGGTGGACTGTGCGGACTTGTCTCGTGGGCTCTCATATGTACGTTGGCGTGACATAGGAGCATGTGCCCTCGCCTGGAACAATCGCTGACTTTTCTCGCATCAGACCCCATCGATTCAGCTAAGAGCATCTACCAAAGGAACGCCTTACTGCACTCGAAAGGAGAGAAGGTCCCTGCCCCGAAGATCGAGTTTTTTAAGAAACACATGTACCGAGGCCTGGGGGTATCCATGAGCCGCTCGTGTGTCGTCAATGCCATCTTTTTCTCCTCCTTTGAATTCATCAAGAAAAACATCAAGTCGATGGACTAACAGCACAAATATGTAATATACGGTTTCCACCGGAACGAACAGAGAAGGCTTGGAATAAAGCCGGCTTTCACGCGAGTTGCGTGTGTGCATATCATATTGAACGGAAGGGGGTCTCAGGCATAACTACTACTAGCATATGCGAGCACTAACGGGCCGCGGCGATGGTTGTCGGTTGGTCAGCCATGCAAACTGGTTGGGTTGGCGTTTTTGGGCCACCATGAGTGCTTGCTTTTATTTTGCGGTGTTTTATCTCGCTCAGGACATACGTCCAAATGTCTTCGACCGCAGTCAAAGGTTCAGGGGTCGTTATCATCTATCAGGCCATCACTACATTGGAATTGTAGGCCAACGCAAAGCATACTAGGTATAGGAAAGCATAAAATACGAACGAGTCAAGTCTTCTTAATTGCATTGACATTTGCACCATCCTCTAGTGGTGTATCCAAATATATAGTGATTTCCACTTTTGGGAGACTAATTAAAACCACCAGGAAGTCAAGCAAATAGCTGGCTGGCAAGCATGGTGTCTGACCATTACTCCCTTCATCAATCATTTCGTAGCTATTTCCGTCTCCTCGTTATGCGAACCGTCTATGACTTGTATGCATTTCTATCTCTTGGTATTTTCCAGTAAATCGTGAGATCTCCTTCTATTTGATGTCCTTTCGCACAATCTTCAACAAGGGAGCAACCCTCGATCTCTTGCTGAGTCCCACACGGTAACTAGCCTTGGTCGGGATCCCAGGACTGAACAGAGACTTGGCCGGGGAAGCTGTGGCCTGCTTTCCCTTCGATGCCCGTTCTGGAGGTTTCTCATCATTATCCGACTTTGTCTCCACCTTCTCGTGCTCTGGTTCTTCATAATATGCATGCCCCTTTTTATCAACTGTATCCGGCATTTCCCTTGTTTGGTCTATTTCCGCAGCGCAGTCCGCTTTTGTATCCTCGTTTTTGCACTCTTCCACAGGGCCTTGCCCCTCTTCATGATCTTGTTTCGAGATGTCGGGGCTCTTCGAAGCTTTCTTTTTGCCCCTTTTTTTAGCGGGTTTAACATCTTGAGCCTCATCAGCATCCGCTGCCTTGGGCTTAGCCCCCTGCTGGTCTGATTTCTTCGGCCGCCCGCGTTTCTTCTTCGCCCCCGAGTTCGGTGTTGCCTCTTCCTTACTCGGTTCAATGATTTGAGACTCGGCTGCTTCGGCTGTGGCCTTCTGCGCTGTCTCCTTCTTGGGCCGACCTCTCTTCTTCTTCTTCTTGGGCTGCGCAAACGAGTCCTCGAATTCTGATTCATTCTCCTCCTCTTTGCGAGTAAATGTTGTCACGGGCTCAGCCGCCAACTCATCAGGCCCGAACGATGCTACCGGCTTCTCCATTATGGGTTCCAGATGTGGAATCTCGTGAGGAGATGCGGCTCGGGGGGGAGGGGCAGTACCGACTAGCGGGGGCAACTCTCCTTCCTGATTGCCCATGTGCTCTGGTGTGTTGAACGTCAATACCCTCTGAGGACCTCCCGGCTCAGAGAAGTCCAGATTCTGGCTTCTGGAAGGTACGAACTGGCTCCGCGGCGTGTTAATGTTAGTAGCCGAGCCGCTGGACCGTTCAAACGCGCCGATCTGGCGTGGGAGCGCCGGCCCCTGGTCCTGGCTGAGCAGGTCGCTGGACTGCGGGTCGACGCTGTGGTACTCCATCTTCTGGTTGTTAGTCAGAGGGTTCGGGGCCACGACCAGCCTGCTGGGGAGCGGGAGCGTCGGCGGGAACATGCTGGACTGGTCCGGAGGCGCGGGCCTCTGGGACTCTGGCTCGTCGTGCGGCATGCTCTGGGCGAGGGGATCCTGGCTTGGGATCTCCTCGGGTGCATTGTGATGGTTGAGCCTCCTCTTCTTCCCCCTCCTACTCCCACTCTCATCGTCAACGACATCGGGGCCACCATTCCTGGTCGGAGAGGCATTGTTCGTTCCACCAGAAGCGCGGTTCTTCTTGGCTTGGAAACCCATCATCTTAGGAGGGTTCTCCGGAGAGCTGGGTATTTCCCAGGGATCTGGTTCTGCCGCCATCGGTTCAGCAACCCTCGGGTCCGGCTGGTTGCCCCTGTCGAAAAACTCGTGACTCAGCTCGTCTTCCTCGCCGTAGCGATTCAGTTCAACGGCCTGCAGAGGATCTATGGCAGCCTGGAAGTGCTCGTTGAACACATTCTTGAAGAATGAGGGATCCGTAGAATCTGAAGCACCGGCCAACTCAGCATGACCCTCAATTGGGGGCTCTATGTGGTTGAAGGGTGGAGAGTGAACCTCATCATCATCCCCATCTGAGTCAGCAATGACGATTGGCTCCATTTTCAACTGACGACCGCATATTTCTGAATAACGAGAGAGCAAAAGAAGCACTACCTTGGAGGATGCCTGTTCGTTGGCTTGTGATTACCTGGACAATGACGGGCAGTTTCGAGGTGGACGTGTCTACTGAGAGTGGGGACGCGTGCCAAAAACGCGAAGTCACGTGAACCCTCTCTTAAGCAAACAGGCAAGCGGGTGACAAGAAATCAGACACCTAATGGAAGAGTGGTCATAAACAGACTACTTTCTATCATAAATAGATTATTTTAGTTGCATAAAATGACAATATATACCGTATTATCTCATTATTGTCACTTAATAGTCTGACAATACTGTAGCAGACTCGAAAATAAGCAGCTTAATGTTTGAGTGTCTTGGGTGGTAAGGCCTACTTCAGCCTCAGCTTTGCACCCCTCCTTGGTTCCGCTCAACATCTCCCTGGCGTCCTCCCCACAAGCGCTGCCACGAGATCCATGAAAACATATTGCGACTTGTCATAAGCGAACCTGAAAGCATGCCTACTACGATGAGTGTGGCAATCTCAGAAATTCCTACAAAAGTGCCCGCTGTTAGAGTCAAACGTAGTTTCGCTACCTCGCAGAGCCGACAAGTCCCTCCACATACCTAGACCCCAGCCAATTTGCGCTTTGGACCAGCTAATGTCCTCTCCATCCAGAGGGAATTCCCGGCTGGGGATGGCGAAGAAGGCTGCGACGAATGAGAGCGGCGTCTAAAGGTAAATCGCTCACGTCAGCCGAGCTTCAACATTGCTCCTCCTCAACGATGGGTGTGTTTCACATACAAAGATGATCGTAACCATTGTGAATACGAATAGCATGGTCTGGGCTCGCTCAGAATCGCGGGCTCGCTGGTCCGCCTGATCCGCGAGCTTGCGGATATTCGTGGCCTGTTCCAGATTTTCCTGTTTCATTTTGATGTCCAGTAGGCTTTCAGTCTTGACAGACAGTGCGAAGAACAGGTCAGCTGCTTAGATGTAGTGAAGCTGGCGGGAAGAAAGAGAGGTAGCCACTAATCGGTGTCATGATGCGACTTACAGATGATTTGGCGATGCCTGCGCGATCTCTAAGAGCCTTGAATCTGTTTATGCTGGAAACTGCTTGTTCCCTAAACGATCCCATCTCCGGCAGGGTCCCAAACGAAAAGTTCAATTTTTTGGCCTGCACAAAGGTAAAACCATGCTGCTCCTCGATGATATTGATAATTAGCGAGAGCTCGTGAATGATGTCCGTGGTCACTCGAAAAGATTCGATTTCATCCGATATAAGGTCTCTCCTTTCTTTGTCAGTTTTCTGAGGGTTACGGAACTCCTGGTGTCGGCGAAGTTGCTGCCCGTACTAACATCGGTGTTAGCCTTTTGATATTGCCACGCCATGCCGCTTGAACGCGTACCTGCTGTGCGATAGCTTCTTTGAATATTGTGTGGATTGGCTGGTCAAGGTTGGGAAACGCCAGCTCGGTCTTTCCGACAAGCTGCGGTAGAAGCCTTTCAAGAATATCGTGAAAACCAGACCACGGCTTCAGCTTTTTGATACAATCAGCGAGCTCACTCAGTGGACTCATTGACAGTCCGTCGTCGTTGGTGGGCTGCCAGAGCGCTGTGATCAAGTATTCTGTCTTGCATATCAGCATGATTCCGCATATCGTTCCAAGCACAGGGGTTGACCAAACCATCTACTTTGCATATCCAAAACCGGGACACCATGAGAATGCGAGGTTCCTTCTAGACGTCTCCTATCAGCATTGCGCAACGAGTTATCTAACCCTAATGGGGAACTACTTACCTCTGAAGAAACGAGGCCTGAAGCGTAATGTCGATATAGTACTTGATCCTTTTCTAGCAATTCAGTTGTTGCATGATCACTTGCTCCAAAGTAATCGTCCAAGGAGCGAGGAAAATGCATGTCTGGAGCTTCTGTTCCCATCCGTTTTGCCAAAGAAAGAATCCCACGTATAGACTTCCGTTTTCGGCTATGGAAGTCAAAGTGCGCCTCTGTATGGAAGCAGGGAAACTGTCAAGCCACCCACCCAAGCCTTATATTAGCCTACAAGACTCACACGGTTCTCCTGAATTAACCTACAGACATAAAGTGGAAATCCACAGCATCGTGGGGTTGGGAGTGAAAAGCATCGTCTAGAGCCAATCCTGACGGAAGAGGCCAATCTCGGTTGATATAACCTTCACTTTGAAGCTTTTCAAGTATAGCCTGGCATTCCTGATTCAGTTCATTTGGTACACGCGAACCAGAAAATGCGCAGAACTTACTAGAAGCCATTCCTTCTATTCACAGACATGAATCAGTCACTGCCACCTATAAGAAGCGACACTACTAAGACAAAACAGGGCTGTGTGTCACTAACGCTCAAGGCCGGCAGATGGATCCATGAGCTAATATGGCCACCCGCGGGCGGGCTGTGTTCACGCCGAGCATCTGGTGACGGCGGTGGTATTTGAGCAGGAAGCCGCTCACTTAGTGAAAGAAGGGTATCTATCGGTAGTCGTTCAATGTCCGCGGCTGGGCTAAAGACGGAAGCATTTGTGTATTGGGAAGGACAAGCTGCGGGCAGTGTTAGAGGAAATAGCGCGTCGAACATAATACAAAGCGATCAAAACCCGGAACCTCAGATGCGCATTATCATAGAGAGAGATAT